CCCGCGCCCCCCGACACGGGACGGTCTCGCACCCGAGCGTGTGGGCGCAGAGAGGACGCTGGAACGAGGGTTCCCAGCGGTAACTGAAATTCAGGCCCCTGGCACATCAACGCGCCTTTTGTCATGTTTATATTTTCTCATTTGTGGCCCGCAGTAGTCCGCCCGAATTGCGGTTTCTGTGGAAATAATCCTGGATTTTCTCTTCCTGTGACCCCGTACAGTGTTGCAGCCCTTTAACTTTTTTGACATTCGCCTGCAAACGCAAAGAAACGGCAAAATACGGCCTACTTGAATTAGAGTTGATGACGAAAATGGCAGTACGTGGTCCTGCATCCCAGGCACCACCGATGGTGCCAGGCAATCGCGTAGCTCCCCTTGCGCGCTGCCTCACGGGCTCCGCAGGGCCTGGTGCCTCCCCGGGAGAGTCCTCTTGCTGCCTTCAGCGGGAGTTACAATGGAGACAGCCTGTCAGACCTGCTGAGCCTGACCCAGCGCTGTTTTAAAAGACTTGAATTAATATTCCCATCCACTGCTGCTCTAAACCTTTTTCAGAGGCCCTGGAAAACCACTGAAATTGGTCACTTTCTTGCTGAACCACTTGATATTTCTAGGTCTTAGATTTAAAAAAAAAAAAACAAACCAAACTTGGAGCAAATTTCATCATTATTTGTTTGCATTATCATGCTCTCTAGCAGCCTTAATCCTGGACTATGATTATGATGACATAGTGTATAGAAATATAGGGCGAAAAGATAATTCCTGCCCTGAAGAGCTCAAAAGTGTAAGACAAAAGAGAGCAGATGGCTATGGACAGACGAGGGAAACAATGAGAGGGTATTGATCTGCTGGGAAGGCACAGTTTGCAACACGCCAGCAGCCTAACTCTTGTTTCTGTGTATACATCATGGCGAAGAAGACATAAGGTGGGATTTGATGAAGAAAATTAATTGGGTTTGTGGCTGTTGAAAGAAGACTTCTCGACAAGAAGGACAGCGTGGAAGAAAGCACAAAGATGCTTGTTTGAAAAAGCAGCAGATGAACTACAGAAGTCTAATCAAATTGGCATGAATTTTTTTTATAATGACAGAAAATAGATAAGGGGAGAAGTAGGCTGTGAGATCATTGAAAACACAGATGCAAAGCTTATGTTTGCTGTAGGAGAGGCAATGAAAGGATCCAAAAGGCAGGGTGACATGGAAAAATCATAAACCAGGCTTGCTAGAACTTAACAAGTCCTAGAGAAAAAAAATATATATACAGTAGTTCAAATTATATGGGCCTGAAGAGATGTAGCATGGTTTTTATAGGAATAAAAAGCGTTGTTCTCAACTGTTAGTTTCAGGACTATGTGTTGATGACCTGAACCTCCCTCCTAACTTGTATTTTGTGGATTCGTAAGTACTGCTCCTAGTGATAGTGTTTATTATATGAACACCTGCTTGCTCAAGGGTCACCTCAAATTTGTTGATGCAAGTAAATAAGCACGCAGGACGGTTGGGACCAAAATGACCATGCACACTGGGAAGGTTCCTTCTCCTGTTACCTGATTTTTGAGGACCATCGTCTCCCTGCAGTGTCCCATCGATTAAGCGTTCGTCACTATCTGCCCTAAACTAGCACAGGTCTGACATAGCCCCCATCGAGCAGAGGGGGAGGCAGGAAGGGCCAGGCTGCTCTGTTCTAGGGCATGGCTGCACCCAGGAGAGCAACCCGTGCTTGGCAGGAGGGATATCATAGAATCATAGAATGCTTTGTGTTGGAAGGGACCTTTAGGGGTCATCTAGCCCAACCCCCCTGCAGTGAGCAGGGGCATGATCAGGTTGCTCAGAGCCCCATCCAACCTGGCCTTGAATGTTTCCAGGGATGAGGCCTCCACCACCTCTCTGGGCAACCCGTTCCAGTGTTTCACCACCCTCATTGCAAAGAACTTCTTCCTTATATCCAGTCTAAATCTACCCTGGTTTAGTTTAAAACCATCACCCCTTGTCCTGTCAAGGTCTGTAGGCTCATACCCCTCTCCATACATACTATGTTATGTTATGTTGCTGTATAGGTTTTTAAACTTTTTTTCTTTCCTTCCCACATTTAGTAGCAGCATTGCAGTTGTAGCAGCTTCTTATTTGCAAATTCTTTGTAATTCTTTTGCATGAAATACTTTACAGAAGATTGTGTTTCCTACAGCAACAATGTGACAAGCTCTTATGTACTTTGGCTTGCCATGATACAACTTGGGGCTAAATGCTGCAAAGTAAATAACCTCAAATGAGCTAGACCCTGGTGAACATCCATGAAAATACTATGGTGTGGCAAATGTGAAAGAATTTGACTGGATTCTTTTGCTACAGGCTAAATGAAACAGGACTATCCCAAATTTCCTCCTGATTTAAATCTTACTAATTCTGTAGATGAGCTGATGTATGGTAACTGTTTAAGCCAGGGTCATTTCCTCTCATGTTTGCTCTCATTGTTGGTTTTAACAGAAAATAGTGTGTATCAAGTGCTAAATGTTGAGAACTGAGATAGCAACTGAAATGCACTTGGCTTTTTTAATCTGCATAAGTGTTCCAAGAAAAGCTGAAAAATATGTTCTCATGCTTTAAGAACAACCCTCACGTGACTCGATGTCAAATTTCCCCCAATTTCTTATTGTCCAGAGTAACTCCAAAGGGCACCACCAT